GAGATCAGGGGGAAGTGCAGAAAGGCAGGGTGATGCTCTGTGCTTTTCAGAGTTAATGTCTACATAAGCACATAACCTCAGTCTCATAGTTTGCCATCAACAAATACAGAGTAAATGAGCAATTAGCATCTGGTTGACTTGGGGGTTGTGAATCCAGGAGGTACTCTGCTCAACCCTCATCTTCAAGAGATGCTGGGTGTGGCTGGGTGTTGGGGTGCACTCCTATAATCCTAGTGGCTCTGTAATCCAGCCATTTTGGAGGCTGAGGTAGGAGGATCTCAAGTTCAAAGCCAGCCTCAGCAATTTAGTGAGGCCCTGAAAAATTTAGCAAGACTGTGTCACACACAAAAAAGGGGGGGGGGGCTGGGGATGTGGCTCAATGGTTAAGTACCCTTGGTTTAATCCCCGGTATCAAAAATAATAATAATAATCAAGACTCTCTTTTGGAGGGACCAAAGGTGAGAGGTGATGGTCACTGATGTTGTGGCTTTATTAACTAAATCAATTTCAAAGGCACATCTGTCACTGAAGAGGGTCTATTCAGCTACAGTTAAGCAAACCCAGGGTTCAAATGAGTCTTAATATGGCTTTCAGGGACTTTTGTATTCCTCCATGTTCACTGGCAGGTACTGGAGCCGTTTCCACATTTTGCAGAAATGAAGCCGAAGGCGAAAAGGAAGACTGGTGTTGGAGGTGGAGGGGGACTCAGCTTCAGTCTACCTGTGGTGAGGACAAGGCCTGAAAAGAGGCCTGCATTCACAGTCAGTTCCTGTGCTCCAGCAGATTTTGGGTTGGTTCCTTGCCTTTCTTTCCTCCCAGGGTTCCCTCCCCAGAAAGCTTTTGTCTGTAGGCAGCCTGAGATTCTGAGGTGCCAGATCCTTATGGAAATGAGCAGAGAGAGAAGGAACAACAAGCATTTTACAGGAAACACTTTCACCAAGGGAGCAGCGACTGGCTGCTGCAGCACCCCCCCTAAGTGATTTAATCACCAAAAAAATAAAAGCTAAAGAATAAGAGCAAAAGCATTTTTTGACTATAACAATTATCCTACCAGAAAACAACATTGTTGGAATGAGAAAAAAAAATCAGCCTTTAATAGGAACATAGTAAAAGATTTTGATTATGTAGTTGCATATTTTTCTGCCTACTCGATTGTTTTTGTGATTCTCCCACATTATGTGAGATGTCTGCCACTTGCCCATCTTTGATTTGTACAATATGAGCTCACTGTACCCTTTTTGCCCCAAGGGCCACTCCACTGGGGAAAGTCTTGTTCCTACAGCAAGAAAATTCAAGAAAGGCATGCCTATTTCTCCAAAAATCCCTTGCAAGGGAAAAAGAGTACGTTTAGAGACACACATAAACTATTTTAGTTTCTTTGATTGGGTATCACTAAATACAGAGCATCCTTTCCCATGGAAACAAGAAAGTAAGGAGAAAAGCATAAAACTGTGAATGATAAAAACTGCCTGTAACCAGCTTCTATTCTATTTGAGAAACAAGAATAAGACACAGGAGAAACACAGTCAGCTGCATTAATGTTCCTCTTGGGAAGAAGAAAGAAGGAAATTGCTCCTAGTGTGAATGTGTTACTATTTTCAGCAACAGGCATATTCATATGTAATTCTATTATTGTTCATGCTTCAACACATATGAACCTTAAAGACATATGCTAAGCAAAAGACAAAAAGACCACATGTCGCACCATTCCATTTTAATGTAATATCCAGAAGAGGCAAATGTCTAGAGACAAAGTAGATTTATGGTTGCCAAAGGCTGGGGGAAATTGGAGACTGGGGAGTGATTGGTTAATGTTTGGGGTGATGAAAATGCTCTAAAATTAGAATGTGTGTGTCACAAATCTGTAAACATATTAAAAATGATAGAATTACACCCTACAAAGGATGAAGTTTTTAAAAAATATTTTTTAGTTGTCAATGGACCTTTATTTTATTAATTTATATGTAGTGCTGAGAATCAAACCCAGTGCCTCACACAAGCACTTTATCACGGACCTATAGCCCCAGCCCTAAAAGAATGACTTTACTGGTATGCAAATTACATCTCAATAAAGCTGCTTTTCACAAAAATCTGCAATTTCTGATGGCTGGCATACCAGCAAAGGGGACACATTCATATGGAAGATGGAGCTGGAGAGCTTTGTTGTTGTTTTTATACAATAAGCATGACCAAGTCATGGACTAATGTGTTTTAATAGGATAGATGTTTTAAAAATCATATTGGCATAGAATCCAAAATGTGCAATGGAAGATAAAAAGAATCCTGACAGTTCTATGATATAGATGGGGCCTTACTATGAGGATGTGTGCATTCCCAAATGAACCTTCATCCAGTGCATAAGCAGAGTCAATCCATTGACCTCATTTCACTACATAAAGGAGCCACCACCGTGGAACAACAGAAACAGCAAAGAGTACATTAGATAAGGAATCGTTGTCTTTGGGTTCCTAGTTGTGCAATGGAATACATCTTTTCTCTGTGTGTTGGCCATATCTCCATCTGGATTCTAAACCGATTTAGGACAGTAATTGTGTCCTGTATTTTTCCTGTCTCTTGGAGTATCCCTCTGGCTCAGGAGAGAGCACACGGGAGGTTGTCAAACCATGCTGGTCATTTTTGGCTGGCTGGTTTCCTTCCAGGTGGTGTGAGGATGGCGGGCCTGAGTTAGGTGGGTAAGCCTTCCCACCTGACCGCATTCCCTTCCACCTGGACAGATGGTATCTCTGCTCTTTCCTGGACATTTCTGGAGTTCCCCACCCCTGAATAAAAATTGGTAAGTAATAGAATGAGATGGAGTGTTATCTTTGTACCTCCCATTTTATTATTGATATCCAGACCTAATTTTAAAATGTATTGGTAAACTTTTAGAGGACTTCTTCGCATTTGGGGGTCATGAAGCAGGGTTGTCAGACTCAGCACTGTGAAAGCCACAAGAATCAGCCCGGCATGTCAAGTTCTTTCAAAATGTTTGCCCACAACACATACTCAAGCATGGGTTCTTGGACAGAGAAACAAATGAATCTCAATGCCAACCATGAAAAGGAGAAATCTAAGGGTGAGCCCCGTGGATGTCTGAGAATCCTAAGTATTTGGATCTAATCCTCGACTCAGATCTTGTTGAGCAAAGAGCGAGGAGTAAAAGAAAAACAAAATCCCCAAAGCATCTTAAAGCATTAAGAATTACTGGGACAAGGGGGATGTAGCTCAGTGGTAGAGCATTTGCCTTGCACGCACAGAGCCCTAGGTTTTATGCTAGGTACCAAGGAATGAAAGTTATTGGAACAAGTTGCTGCCTCTGAATTGCAAGGAGGAAAAACCCTTGCAACAGAAAATTGGTTAAAACAATCCTTATTTAGAAATATATCTTGGGGGGGCTGTGGCTGTGGCTCAGTGGTACAGCACTTGCTTGGCATGTGTGAGGCACTGGGTTCGATTCTCAGCACCACATAAAAAGAAATAAAGGCCCACTAACAACTGAAAAAATATTTTAAAAAAAGAAAGAAATACATCTTGAGGTTTTCAAAATGACTTTGGGATTATGTTTTCTCAAGTCTTTCCAAATACTGAGAAATGTGACTAAATAACAAAAGTCACAAGACTGGGGATTCATGAAAGTGGATTCTCTATCAATAAAATACAGTGAAAGAGTAGGAAGGAAAATGTCAGCCAGGAATCCCGATGCTTCTTGTGTGTTTCATCTTGTCTGTCTACCAGGTCACTTGCAGAGAAGAGGGATCTCCCCCTCTCTGCCCTCCTTCTTTATTTCCTATAAAACTCGCAAATACACAATGACTGCAAAGAAGACATTCAGTTTCTATTATCCAAATGAACCCGACAAGGAGTTCTGAGTGGATGGCTACTTCAGAATTGAGAGAGAGATGAGAGTAATATTTCTAAGATTGAGAGAGAATTTAAAAGTTCAATTGGATGACATTTTAGAGACTTGACTTTAGTTCTTTTTTTTTTTTTTTCTTGTTTAAGCACATCACCCCAACCAGGGCTACATTAAGAAATTTTAAAATGATGGAGTGTACTGAGTCTTTGGGGTTTCTTATCTCTCAGTTGGATTATGCTTTTTATTAGATTCCAGTGGTACTTGACGTGTTATGTTAATCCATATTTAAACTAGGGTGACCTTACGTCCCAATTTGCTCAGGACAGTCCTGATTTACACCTGTTGTCCCAGCAGAATTATTAATAGCATCCTCCTCTACCCTAGCATACCAGTTTGGAAGATTAAAATTCTAAAATCACACTATGATTCCTAAAACTATTCTAGAGTATAGAATGCCTTTCATTAATCATTGCAATTTGTAGCTACTTTATACAATATCTGAGACCCTTTCTACTTTTTTTTTTTTTTTAGTATTTATTTTTTAGTTGTAGTTGGACACAATACCTTCATTTCACTTATTTATTTTTATGTGGTGCTGAGGATCGAACCTAGGGTCCCGCATGTCCAAGGCGAGTGCTCTACCGCTGAGCCCCAGCCCCAACCCAAGAGAGCCTTTCTTCTTTCTATTGGATTTTAAACATCCTTTGAACTTTAGAAGGCTCCTCATAGAACCAGAGAGCCAGAGGCAAGCTGGGCATGGTGGCACACGCCTATAATCACAGCAACTTGGAAAGCTGAAGCAGGAAGATGGCAAGTTTGAGGCCAGCCTCGATAATTTAGGGAGACTGTCTCCAAATAAAAAATAGAAAGGGTTGGGGATGTAGCTCAGTGGCAAAGCACCACTGGGTTCAATCCCCAGTATCAAAAAAGAAAAAAAAAAAACAGAAGCAAGCCAGTGGCAAGACAATGACAATCATATTCAACACAAAGACAACTGTTGTTCATTAATAACACCTTAATGAACATGTGTTGTTAATTAGTGATTTTGTATTATTCAGGTTGTATTTCTATTTATCAACTATATTATAAATTAAATTGTATTATTATGTATTATTAAACATGCCAATGGCTGAATCGCACATACCTTCATAGCCAAAGAGAAGTAATAACAAGAAGCCTTCTATCTTGCGTGGCATTTTTCCCTTGTCCTTGGCGGCAGCTCTACCTTCCTGAAGTGGGGAGCTTGCCCAGGAGGAGGAGATTAACTTGAGCACCAGCCTCATTAAGCATCTTATTCCATTTAGTTCTTAGGTTTTGGCTGAGTCCCATCAAGTTAACCCACATAGTTACCTGCCTCAACAAAGGAAGTCTCAGAGACAATACTAATGTCAACTGAGGTTGGTTTAACAAGGAAGATACTGGTTTTATTCTATCTTTAAATGTTAAGGGAAGGAATGGAGGGAAATGAAAACTAGAATCCTAAGACTCAGCTCTTCATCTGTTCTCTGTTATTGTCTTCTAGTGGGTGACCTTGAGCAATTTTCTGCCAAATAAGTCCTAACATTCTTGAGTGGTATGAAAATGCCACTGAATCACCTCACACAAAGCAACTTGGTGTCATGTTCATACTATTCACTCAGGAAAATACTAAATTTGGTGGGGGAGACAGTTACACACAAAGATGTTTAATGCTGTGTTACTTATAATAATAAAACTGAAAACAATCAAAGTGTGCAAGGTTAGGGGACTGGTTAAGCAAATTAGGAAAGGTAGTAAAGCTGGGAGGGTTAAGAACATGGATTTCCAAACTACACTGGATGCAAATCCCAGTTCTACCATTTGCTGTGATAATAATGCTTCATTCATACAGTTATTTTGGCTTAAATGGAATAATATCTGGTGGTGTTCATTTGTAATCCTAACTATTCAGGAGGCTGAGGCAGGAGGATCACAAGTTTGAGGCCAGTTTCAGCAGCTTAGTGAGGCCTTGTTTCAAAATAAAAAGAACTGGGGATATAAGAACTGGGGATAGAACTGGGGATATAAATCAGTGGTGGAGTGCCATGGGTTCAATTTCCAGTAAGGGTGGTAGTGGGGAGTGATGATATATACAAAGTACTTAGAATAGACTAGGTAGGGGGTGGTCTAGTGGTAGAGCTTTGCTTTAGCAGGTGCAGGACCCTAGAATTGATCCCCAGTATAGCAAAACCAAACAGAACACTTAGAACAGTGCCTGCCATACTTACCTATCATTGTTACATAGCCATTAAGAACCGGGTTGATAAGGAGCTCCAGGTGTGGCTCAATGGTAGCATGTGTGCTTAGCCCAGGGTTCATATTTCCCAGCACTCCTAAAAAATTGATGGAAGGAAAAATGAAGTAACCACTCCCTTGATGGGTGTAGAGTTTCAGTTTTGCAAAGTGAAAAGATGCTGATCTGTTTCACAACAACGTGAATAGGCTTAACATACCAATGTGAATAGTACATAAAAACTGTATACTTAATGGTTAAGATGGGCATTTTAAAGGAGAATTGAGTTGATTGTTAATGACAGGGACAATCATGTTATACTGGAATTACAAAAAAGTAACGAATGTATGTACTGTATAAGCAGAACTATGTGGGAAAATGCTGAGAAAAACACAGTTTTCCCTTCCTCTTTTAGTTCTTTGCCATCACCATCCCACCTGTAGCCCACATCCTCAGTACCCAAGGCTCAGACACCTTTCCCTTATTCATTTTATCAAAAATGAGAAAGGTCAAAAACAAAACAAAACACAACACTACACAACAAAACACCTCTCCCCACCCCGTAAAGGAAACAGTAATGAAATATTAAAGAGGAGCACAAAAGCAACTAGGCAAATGTTTGGCCATTCAATAGGCACTTACTGGATGTCTATAGAACTGGCTTTTATTCTATACTATATGTGGATCCATTAAACAGATGAATGTGTATTCCATTAATCCCACTGCTGTCTTAAAAACAAAAGGACTATATTGTCCCCCTGCTTTGTATTTTAAAGTTGACCGAAATATTAAACCTTCAATCATAATCATAATCAACCTTTAATAATTCAACTGCAGTCAAATCGCTGCTTTACTGTTACATTTTTAGTTGGAGGTTTTGTGTGGAGCCGGCCTGTCCTGGCTCCAGGGAAAGCGCCGCGCCCGAGAGTACCAGGAGAGGTCGGATAGGGTCCAGCAGAGACCACGGCTCCGCGCCGCCTTCACCCTCTGCTATTTCGCGAGTCTGGCAACTGCAGCCGCGATCTTGAGGAATTTGAGAGGTTGTCATTTCGTTTCTGTGATGAAAGAGTGTCAAAAAAATTTTAAACGAATAAAGGATAAGGAGAAACTGTTTTTTTTTTTTTTTTAGGGGATGTTAGTTATTTTGTTTCGTTTTTTTTTTTTAGCCAGAATGCTCAATGGATATAAAAATCAAGAACTTCCTACTAGTTATGGTTCCACTGGGGCTCGAACCCAGGACCTTCTGCGTGTAAAGCAGACGTGATAACCACTACACTATGGAACCTCCACGCAGGCTTGGAGCGTTAGTTGTCTATTCATAGTCACATCAAACCCAGTGCCTCCCCCACCCCCCCGGAACCCCGCCCCTCCGCCGTGGTTCCGCCCCGCCCCCGAGGCACAAGATTAGCTTCTGGATCCTCGCCGGCAGCTTCGGAATTTGAGCTGCTTCAGCCGCTCAGCACCTCAGACTTTCGGCCGCTTGTAGCCAGGGCTAAGCCGGGACTCGGTCCCTTCCTCGCCGAGAATGCTGGCCCCCTAATTACCTGTCCCCAAACTTTCCCTCAGCCGAAGCGTCGGCAAGGTGGTCCGACGGGCAGAAGTGCGCCCTGCTGGGGCACTGCTCCTTCTGGCAGCTTCGCAGAACTCGTGAAGGACTGGTACTTTCCCATTTTCCCCCACAGGCAAACTGAGCCTGGGTGACCCGACTGACTTGCCCCGTCAGAAGTCACATTGTTGCCGCTTCCGGCAGCTTTGGAGACACTGAGGCAGGAGCAGGGAGGACAGGAGCTAAAGAGTTGGCAGCGCGGGTCTCGGAGGTGGGGCGCCATTTTTATGACGGCGTCTATTGTGCCTGGGTTGAAAAAGGCCACTGGTTAGTTAGTGGGCTCCTTGCCCTAGGGTACGGGCCTGTTACTCTCCTCTAACCTCATCCCAGCATTCCTCCCTTTTCAAAGCCGCAGAGGGGCTGAAAACCGAAAGCCTTGCCTTCGGTCCCTTTGGGTTAGGGTCAGGGGTGGCGCTGGTGTAGACAGGCCACCTGAAGCATGATTTCAGGTGCCCACTGTAAGATGAAAATGCCAGGTCCCTTTTTTATAAGTTAGGAAGATTTTCAAACCTTGACAGTAAAGCATTAAATCCAGCGTGGGGGCCTTGTGGGATTGCAGATGGCAGTTCCTGACCCTACAGCTGTGTTTCTAGGACTATGGTCCCAGTAAGATGCTGCGATCCTTCGCCTCAAAGGACTCCCACATGGTTTCCCACATGGTCTCACTTCTTGCTTTTCATTGTTAGTGTCATTTTGCCTTCTCCTGGGCTTCTGGGTGGATCTTCACGCCATCATAAGATTGCTCACCACCTGCAACCCTGAAAACCCATCTTAAGCACCCTGGTGGATTTGAGCTGTAGGTGGCAGGTGTTCTTTTCCCTGGCGTCTTCCTCGGAGGCTGGCAGGATGATGAAGAAATGATACTGATGATAGGAAAGCAATTCCCTTCAACCAACTCCTGTTTTCCTGAGAAAGCCCGTGGAAGATACAGGTGGGTGGAATGAACACCACGTGGGGGTCATGATCTGGATTTTAGTTTTGTTTGTAGCCACTCACCAGCTGTATACTCTTGAGCCAGCCAATTCACCTTCCAAGTCTCAATCTTTTCCTCTGTGCAATACTGCTACTTTCCCCTCTGGCTCTAAATATTATCCCCATTTACCATGTAGAAGAATGGAGGCAGTTATTTGCCCTATGAATTTTTTACCCCATAGAACTAATTAGAGTCAAGCTTGCAGCTAGTGCCTGGTTTATCTAGAACCCAGTTTTCCTGTGTCCTCAGTTTCCTGTAATATTCTTTACAGGGTCTCCTTACAGTCTTCCTTTTTGTTGATATATTTCAGAAGGCCTCTTGAGTACTTGTTGCCTAGAGTGTGAGCCTTCAGATGACCATGAGTGGCCAGCCACTAACTGGAGAATGAATTCATAAAAGCTCCATGTTTCCTGCTAGTTAATGAGCTGTAATGAGTGCTGGGGAACTCCGTAAGTATGTCCCGTCTGTTTCCAAGCCCCTATCAGTCCAAAACAAGGTTGCCAAGAATTGGCCCTAAAATTGTACCCACTAGTTTTGTGTTGGTTTGTATCTCCAGGGAATGCTTTGCTTTCCCTTCAGCTTTCTGTTTGCCAACTGCAAGCTTTGACCAAATTCCCATACTTAAAATCCATGTAGAAAAAAAGCTGCCCCTCTAAATGCATTCAACACAGGTTTCTGCCTTTAGTAAAAAACAAAACAACAACAAACCCTTTTGTTTCTTTTCTCCATTATGGCCAGAAGGGAGACTTTAGTTCCATTCTTCCTGCCCCTCTGGAGTGTAGTGACAAAGTCTATTATTAGGATAGTACAATATGGCTTACAAAGCACTTTCACATACATTCCTGGCCAGGAGCCCTATGAGGTAACCATGGTAAGTATTACTATCACCATTTTTCAATGAAGAAGTTATGTTGAGTTGGAATGCCTTTCCTGTTACCTTTCAGCTGGTGAGTAGCAGGCCTTGGTTTATATTAAGCCTACTGATATCTGATTGTGCAAGGCCCAAGCCTATAAAGACTACATGTTTATTGCCCTAAGAGTGGCATTTATTTTGTATGCATGCTAGTGAGGAAGTGGATACCGTTTGTTTTTTTGTTTTGTAATTTTTAAAGAAAATCCTCAAAAGTAGGAACCATAGTCTGTTAGAAACAACTATTGATGACTTTTACCTTCAAACCGTTGAGAGGGATAATGCTTCAGATGGTCAGCTTTGCCTTGCACTTCTGTTTAGTCAGATTTGTGAGGCCTGACACACCCAGATATACCCTCGTGCATTTGAACAAGTATAAGAAAAATACATGAGCAAACTAATACATGAAGACCAGAAGCCACTTCAGACTTTGAGTTCACTGATTTCTCAGGTGTTTAGTGTTGTTTCACCAGTTTTTGGCTTCACTGATAGAGGTAACTTGACCAAAGAAATTGTGGTCCCAAACATTGAATTTAGTTAAGAAGCCTACTTTACCTGATATCATTTAGAAACTGTTGTACTCAGTCCTTCAGTGAGTATTGAGTATTTATTAGGGAAAGTCAGTCATTACCTTACTCTGGCAGAGCTCACTTTCTTTTCAGCTCAATATATTCAAAATACCTTGAAACTATCCTATTGTGATAGACATTTTGTGTGTGTGTGTGTGTGTGTGTGTTTTGCAGGGGATGGAAACTGGGGCCTACTGCATGCTAGACAAGCACTCTACCACTGAGCTACGTCCCCAGTCTAATATTTGTTGGTTTTTGTCACCTACCTTTTCACAGTCTCCTTCAACCTCCTGTACCTCCTCTCCCAACCTGGGTTACAGCTTATTACCATGCTTTCTATTTCAGTGGATAGTAAAAATGGAAGCAATCAGAAGAGAATGTCCACAGAATGTCTGTGTCTATGGCTTCATACTTCTCTTCTTCATATATCTCTCCCTCTGTCTTCTTACTTGGCTCAAATTCTGTGGTCATTTTTATCACACACTTGTTTGCCCCCTCATTGCTTCCTTATACTTGCTGGCAAAACCACAATCTGTTAAATGAAACTCTCCTTTCTGTGCTTCTGGATATGGGTCAAGAAAAACCCATATCCAGGCCGACTGGTTTCACATCAAATTCACCACTACTTGCCTCAGGTGAGCTCTGCAGCCCAGTTTCATGACCACTTCTCGTGGCCATTTATTTTTTACCTCCTACGGTATAGTTTCATATCTTTTCTTCCTCAACCTCCTGTACCTCCTCTCCCAATCTGGGTTATAGCTTATTACCATGCTTTCTATTTCAGTGGATAAAATAAAAATGAAAGCAATCAGAAGAGAACGTCCACAGAAACCCACCTGTCAGTATCTGTGGCTTCATACTTCTCTTATTCCTTTAGTTCAGGGTGTCTCTATCACAGCTCTGTGGGTTGTGACTGCGTAACCCCCTTGTGTGGGCTGTCCTGTGTATGGTAGGATGTTTTGCAGCATCCTTGGCCTCCAGTCAGTAAATACCTGTGGCACCCCCATATGAATACCAGTTGTGACAACCCAAAATGTCTGCTAGAGGGAGCAAAATCTTGTGGGGGCTATTTGGCAATGTCTGGAGATATTTTTGTTTATTGTGACTTGGAGGGGGTGCTATTGGCTTCTAGTGGATAAAAACAAAGGACACTACTTTATATCCTGCAATGCACAGAAGAGTTCCCCACAACAAAGAATTACCTGGCCTCAAATGTCAGCAGCACCCAGTTGAGAAACCCTGTTCTAAATTTGCATTTCTAGTTCCTGCTCTTGCCCACCTACTCTTGCATACTCTAGGAACTCACTACAAAAATTTCCTACTCTTCTATATAAACCCCCCCCCACACCCCATATTGGATCACTCCCGTTGGCACACAGACCTAATCTCTTTTTAAAAAATATTTTTATTAGTTATTGATGGACCTTTATTTATTTATACATGGTGCTGAGGATCAAACCCAGTGCTTCACACATGCTAGGCAAGTGCTCTACCATGGAGCCACAACCCCAGCCAACAAGTAATCTCTTAATCCCATTTCTCCTCTAGCTATTTCTATTTTTCTGCTCTCTTTTATAGGAAAAATCTGCTGCTTGTTTTTGGTGCTCTTTTCAGTTCTGTTCCCTGCACTGGCACTTGCTTGTACCATTCCTCTAGTCCATATCACCAGGGACTTCCAAATTGCTACACAGAATAGTCCTCTTTCATCATCTTATTTGATCTACTAGTAAAATTTCTTTTCTTTTTTTTGTGTGTGATACTGGATATTGAGACCAGTACTGAGCTATATCCACCACTGAGCTATATCCCCAGCCTGTTTTATTTTTTATATTGAGACAGGGTCTAGCTAAGTTGCTGAGGCTGGCCTCCAATTTGTGATCCTCCTGCTTCAATCTTCTGAATAGCTGGGATTATAGGTATGCATCACCATCCCAGACTATTAGCAGCATTTCAGTCAATCACCCTTGTTTTTGAAACACTTTTATCTCTTTGTCCTTTGAACATAGCTATTTTCCTTAAACTTCATTCTTAACCCCCAATGACCTCATTCAATCTAATGGCTTTAAATACCATCTATTTATTCCAAATGTATATCTCTAGTCCAGACTTTTCTCCAAAACTGCATATTCAATATCTCCATTTAGATGTCTAATAGGAATCTTAAACCCATTATGTCTGCATCTAAACTCCTTATCTCTACTCTCTAAACCTGCTCCTCTTTCAGACTGCCTTATCTCAGATAATGGTAACTTCACCTTTCCAGTTATTTACACCTAAACATTAGAATCATACTAGATTCTTCTCTTTTTCTCATAACCCAGATGTAATCTCACTAGCAAATCATATTGGCTCCATCTTCCAAATCCATCTAGAATGTAATGGCTTTCTACAGTCTCCCTTGCTATCATCTAATCAAAGCCACTATCCCATTTTTCCTGGATCATTGCCAATAGTCCCATATCCTGGCTGCCCAGCCTCTGTGCTTTTCTTCCTACAGACAATTCACGTAGTAGCCAGAGAGTCCTTTTAAAATCTGAGTAAAATCTTGTCAATCCTTTGTGCAAAAACCCTTCACTGGCTCTCTACCTTAACTAGAATAAAAGCCAAGCCTTACAGTGACCTTCAGGGCCCTACCTGACCTGAACTCCTCACCCATTATCATTCTGATTATATATCCTATTACTCTGCCTTTTCTTTTATTCCATTCCAGCCACCCTTGCCTGCTTGTTGTTCTTAAAATAAACTAGGCCTCTCCTGCTTCTGGGCCTTTATACCTACTGTTTACCGAGCCTTGAATATTCTTCCCTTAGATCACCCCATTGTTTGTCTTCTCACCTCATTCAAGTATTTACCCAAATAATTTCTCAGTGGGTCCTTTCCTGATTCCATTTTAATTTTTTTTTTAGTTGTAGATGGACACAGTAAATTTATTTATTTATTTCTGTGTGGTGCTGAAGATCGAACCTAATGCCTCACACATGCAAGTCGAGCACTCTACCACTGAGCCACAACCCTAGCCCTCCTGATTTCCTTTAAAATTGCTATTATTCCTTTCCATTCACCCTAGAAACTCAATATCTCCTTTTCCTGCTTATTTTTCTTGGTAGCACAGAGCACCAACTAAATTTTTAGATGTTTACTTATTTTGTTGATTGTCTTTCTTCATCCTCAGCTAGAATGAAAGCTCTATGAGGGCATGGGTTTGGTTTTGTTTGCTGCTATACTCCATAGAGCCCAAATAGTTATTACTAGGATCTACTAAATTCTTAGTAAATACATCTAGAATAAATTTGTCAGTATTGGGGGGTGACTCAAGCCAGGTCACTCAGTTCCAATTATAGCGAATCCTTGAGCTTTTGCATGAATTCCTGAGAAGAGGCATTTTCTTGTTCAACCTGGACTTGAATGTGAGATGATCCACAGGCTGAACGTTCTGCTGTCATCTTACTATTGCATTGTATTAGGCAGTGCTCTTAATTGTATACAACAGAACCCCTTTTGTTCAAAGTAGTTTTTGGTTGTTGCTTTTGTGTGTGTGCTGGGGATTGAATCCAGGGCCTCATGCATAGTAAGCATGTCCTAACCCCACCCATGTAGGATTCTTATAGCATTGCCCCACTGATACGCTTGCTTGATCAAGTGAATTGCTTTGACCACTTGAATGTGAACAAAAACTGATGTGTGTCACTTACCAGCAAAAGTGTAAGGGCCAGTATGGTTTGATACTTCTCTTTTTCCATTCCCTGTGAGGCCAGCAGTGTCCCAGAGACAGGTTGACCTGAGTCTGAGTTGGAAGACTGTGTGTTACACAACTGTAGCCCACTTGCACTGGCCATGAAATATAAGTAAAAAGTAAACCACTAAGATTTTGGATTGTTTAGCATAATATCATCTAGGCTGCTTCAACATTCCTACTAGGTTAAGAAGAAAATGAGTTTATTGAAGGATATTAGGTAGTTCTCAGGATCTC